CTGTGATGTTATGCTGCAATTCCCCTTTATTGGAACCAAATGACTAAACTTTCCATTTTGCAATTTTCAGCCCTTTTACTTTTACAGCTTTCACTCCTTAGACCTAGTGAACTCTTATGTCTGTGGGACTTCAAACTCATCTTTAAAGAACTTGACATTTTCTGTCTGGACAAATTCGGAAGAGAGAAGATATATTTGTGAGACAAAATAATAATTAAACAGAGGCTAACAAGCTTAGGGTTGTGATGTTAGAAGGCTGGATGCAACTGGATTTGGGGGCAAGTGAAATGAATAGTGTAGACTGGGTCATTGGAGGCGTTAGGTAGGATTTCTGCTATAGTTACGTGATATGTGAATTTCATCATCCTGGTAAATGTTTTCATATACATAGCTTGGACATATAGGCTACTCTTTAAAAGTGAGAATGTAGAGCCTTATTAATTGCTTCTGTGGAAGAAAACAATCACAAAGTAACTTGCAGACAAGTTTCAATGATTTATAGCTGCTGAGAAGACAGCATGTCTAAGCTTGCAAGAGAATGAACTTCCCTGGAGAGAATGCAGCCAGATTTGTAGCTGCAGTGAGCCACTTTGGAAACTTGTCCCGGCTTGATTGAAAATTGCTTCCCCCGTTGGGTGGGAGGAGGTTTTTCTTTGCTGTTCCTTTACCCATCTCATGCTGCTTACTCACCAGCTGAATCCTAAGGGGAAAAAGTCCCAAGCAAGAAATTTCTTCGTAGTATTTAAAACATAAAAGACAAAGGAAGAGCTGTTGTTAGTAACATGATGAGATAAAGCTATTGTACTCTTAGTGTCAAGGTCCATTTTAACATTTTTTATAAAATTAAACAAGGTTTTACAATTAGATCAGAACCTGATGTTACGTTGAAAAGAACAATTTCCCCCCTGTTTATTGTATGGCTTTTAGAAATCCCTGTACATATTGGAACACTGCCATAAAATTGCTTTAGTCAGAAAGTCTATCTTTACATTTATATGTTTTTATGCTGTATTTGAAAATTTATCTTGTCATTTAGTGTAAATTGATGCTAGGTATGAATTTGAAACAAACAGCAACAAAAAAAAGTCACCTACATATTTACAACCAATCAAATTTTTAGGACAAATTACATACTTCAGCAGCTTCATTCACCCAGCTGAAGTCATTTCAGCTGACCTTTCCTTTAGCTGATTTGGTCTGAAAAGAATATTGTTCTGCTGTTAATTGTTTTGGACATAGTGTGTGAAAAATCTTAAGGGAGTTGAATTTTATTGTTCAGGGTTCACAGTATACATTTTTGCCTGCATGTTTACTGCTGGCCTGTCAAAGTATAAGAAGGAATAAATTTCTCCTATGGAACAACTAATCATGAAAATAGTGTTGAGGTGTTTGATTGACATAGTGAAGCTGTTAATTTAGAGTGGATCCAGATCAAATGGAAGTTATTGCAATTAGGAAGTGATTGTGTTCTCAGTTGAAATTTTTAAATGCTGCATTTTAGATTTTTGTGGGTCTTTATGCTGTCTCATGGATGTATTAGGGAATTTCTATGGTTAGTTACATTTAGATGCTTAATGTTCAGCACAATTTCAGTGCAAATTTTACTTTTTTATAATAACTGTTATTTAACTGATTAGGGACGTTCACTATACATACAAGTGTTTCTGTGCTCTGTAGGGCTCTGAGGAAGAAAAGATTCAGCCAGTCTAAGTTTTGTGGGGTTTCTATTTATTTTGTTTTTACAAGTTTAGTTCAAAATATTATGGTAACAAGCTAAAATCTTCCTGCTTATTTCTCTGCGAATGTCTCTGTTATGACATGCTTAGGGTTTCCTGGTCTCTATATAGTTCAATTCCAAAGTTTGTGTGTATGAAGTTGTATTCAATATAACATATATAGTAAGACCTTCTTTGGTACCATGGTGTGGCACAAATGTTAGCCGGTTCTTTCATATCCGTAGTTCTTGAACCTTAATGCTTCAGTTATACTGAAAAGCCACATTTTTCTCCTAAGTATTCTATGAAAAATTGTGGAATATCACTTTCTCTTTCTGGAATCTATATTCCAGCATATAGTACTGACAGATGACACACAGATTCTAGAGGGCAAAACATGCCCCTAAAATTGCAGACACAGGTATGGTGGTGAAACAAGCTGGCTTAGTTGCCAAAAAGGTTGTGGAAACCTGATGAAGTCCCTGATGAGCAATTTAGCCTTAGTCCAATAAGGATATTTCTTTGGATGAGTTGAACAATTTTCTCATCATTTCAGTATTTCTGTTCCAGAACTGAAGCTGCTGTTTCTCATTTTTTCACGTACATGATCTACTCACTCATGTGCATCTGCAAAGAAGTTTGCTTCAGGTTTAGGCCTTAATTATCACCTCTACATTTAGGTGTCTGTAGCTTGATATTAGCATTAGATCTTTTCCTTATATAAGACTGTAGAAAACAAGCAAGCAGAAGCCTCACATTAAGAACAGTGCTGAGCTGACAATGCAGCTCTTTGGTCTCACTGAAGAGAAGTAGCGTAGAGGCCATTAGCCAAGTCCTTGGGGATGCTTATTGAGATGCTCTCTCCAGTTGACCCTTTGGCATGTAGAAGTGCACCCGATGGGGACGGGCTGTGCAGGGAAGCAGTTTAGTTTTCTGCCCTGAAAGAGAAATGGCTGTGGCTGAAGTTCTGACATATTTTTGAACATTAGAAAATACTAGTGGAGGGGGAAGATTGATGGTAAATTTATGGTAACACTAGTAAAGAAAAATCCAGTAAGCTTATGTGCAGCCTTGGATTACCCATACATCCTACCTTGGATTTATCTACCTTTTGGTTCACAAGTTTTTATTCCTACTATTTATTAAGGAATATGAAAGTGATCAGTGTTACGGAAACTCAAAGGTAAAGTGCATCTGTCTCAGATTGTTTTATTCTGCCGCCAGCTGACAAAAGATGCATCTCAAACGTATGCTGTAACCCGTGCTTTTGTGACCCAAGCAGGAAAATAAGGGTAATAATTTTCCCAACATTTGGGAAATATTTTTGAGTATTTTTTCCATGGATACAGTGCACCTTTCCATTCATAACAGCTACTACAGTTCATACTGATTTGCATGGCCAAGAAGTTTATTTGGATAATGGGATTCATAACCAGTCCAGCTTAGCTATGGCATTGGATAGAGGGTGCTATTTTTTTCTTTTCTTTTTAAAATAATGACGCATTATGCTTTGTTATAAACAAAAGATGGTTATGGACAAACAAATAGCATCTAATGCAAGGGAAAGGGCTGGTGAACACATTAAGGTTCATGCTTCTAACCAAGTGGGAAAAGATAGAGCTCCTGTTTTTGTTCCCTCAGCTGTTCTGGTTCTCTCAGCATCTGACTGCCTTCCCATGTGACATTTTCACATTGCATTTCTAGGTCAATGGTGACACAACTAGCATGCTTGTGCCCAAACTGATCATCTCAGTCTGCTCTACTCCACATGGTTTTCACATCCATCTTTACTGTAGTCTGCATTTGGATTTCAGAAAAGCCTGTCACCTTTCTAATTCTTTAGGTCTTAAAAAACAAGGACGGCTCAGCAGGCACGTTAACTTCTCATATTTTTTCCTGCTCCAGGTATCTGGGAGTAGGAGGAAAAAAAAAAAAAAAGGAGTGAGCTTTCTAAGCAGATGATAATGACATGAGAAAATGTGATATAAAATCAGTGTCAGTAAGAGGTTTCACATTTGCCAGGGTTATGAAAAAAATTGGCCAGATTAATTCTTCCAGAGAAGAACTTTTGACTGTTGGACATTACTTTGCACCTTCTAGTGTAGATTCTCTTACTGTTTCTCCTTCATGTGGATGAGAGAAAACCAGCACATTCAGGTTCATGAGCATCTTTCTGAAGGCCAGACACAGGGCCTGCTGCAAACAATTGCCTTTAAGGGCATGACTTTTTTCTTTAATTGATAAAGTTATAACCACAAGTAGTTATAACCACTTTGTTATAGCTGAAAGATGGACAGAGACAAGTGAATAATGTCTACTGCAAGGGATAGGGCTGGTGAACAGCTCATCCCTCTTGTTCCTCTTTTCAGCAGCAGCCTCTTCTGTGTAAGCATCTCATGGCCTGCTGGGTGCTGCTCCCATGCCTGCTGCCCTCATGAGTGCCATTGCTGTGTGGGAACACCCAGGGCCCCCGCTCCCAGCCTGCCACCACCCTGAGCTCAACAGGAGGTGAAGACCTGTCTCCTGTGCCTGCACAGCTTTTGAGTGTCTGGGAGGGTATCACTGAGCAACTCCTTGCTAGGGACAGCAGCAGGTCTGAGACAATAGTTCCTGGTGCTCAAAATCTGGGATTATCCCAGCCAGGCTAAAACTGGGTGTGGAGAGCAATGAAGAACCAAAGATGGGGGTAGGAGGACAAAGGTGAAGGGCAGAGCTGGGAAAGACAGGAAAGTTGGCATTCAGAGCTGGATCTGATGCTAAACCTGGCAATAGCAGAGAGATGTGCTGTTGCAGTTCTCAGCTATGTAACTTTCTGTTTTTCCTAACACATCTATTTTTAAACAAACTGAAGTGAACGAGTAATTTCTTAGTTCCATTTTCTTGCACTTAATGTCTCCCTATGACTGCAAAGCTACCACAGATAATGATGATGTTAAAAAAATTCTATAGGATCGCAAGTAGAAAGGTGTTTCTGATACAGCTCTCTTTTGGCTAATGAAATAGCAGCTTACATGTGAGTTGGTATTAATGGCACATTCAGAAATGACACGATTCAATTATTTTACTAGACAGTGAACACAGACACAAACATAAGATATTTCTGAATCTAGGCATCAGCTGGAGGTGATTGAAAGTACACTACTTGTGCATGTTTCTTCAAATAATTACTGTGGAAAATATTGTGGCATTGTAGTTAAAAGCAGGTTTTTTAATGCTAATAGCTGAGGGAAGAGAATTCCCGAAGATAAATTCTCTTCTATAATGCCATGTTAATCTTCCTGACAGAAAGCAGAAGAAGAGGAGCTTGTCCTCACACCTGATGGCACCAGGGAATTCCTGACCTTTGAAGTTCCACTGAATGACTCTGGATCAGCTGGACTTGGTGTGAGTGTCAAAGGTAACCGGTCAAAAGAAAACCATGCTGATTTAGGAATCTTCGTCAAGTCCATTATTAACGGTGGAGCAGCATCCAAGGTGAGAGGGAACATCCATGTACCTTTGTCTTCCTCGATTTTCCGTAATAAAGTTGTTTTGAAAATAGCCACAGATTCAAAAATAATGAGATTGCCCTATAAGCAGCTTTTTCCAATTACACTGTCAGATGTAACATTTAGATTTCTACTCAGATTCACACGTTTGCATGTCCTGGGATTCAAACAGCCTGTACAGGTCCTTGGGAAGGATACGAGCAATCTCTGGTACAGTCCAATTAGTGCAAACAAGTTATGATGATAGCTTGCAGTGCAAGTCTAGAATTTAAATAGACATTTCCTACAGTGGATGCAAGGGAAGCTATTATACCAGTGTTCATTTTGCCATAAACTCTTAGGACTAAGCATAGTTGTTTGGGGTTTTTTTGGTGTGTTTTTTTCCCCTCCCCCTCTCCAGAAGAGTACACTTCTTTTGTTGGTGTTCTATATAACTATGATCTATCCTTTTCTAGGATGGTAGGCTTCGAGTAAATGATCAACTAATAGCAGTAAATGGAGAATCATTATTGGGCAAAACAAATCAAGATGCTATGGAAACTTTAAGGAGGTCCATGTCCACTGAAGGAAACAAACGGGGAATGATTCAGCTTATTGTGGCAAGGCGAATAAGTAAATGCAATGAGGTAATATGCTTTTGATATCAGGACTGACAGTTTTCACTTTTAAGATGTTTGTGTTTTAGGAGATGTCATGTTTCCTCTGAGACCTGGACAATAATATTTGAGAAGCCAAAAAAAGAGTTACAAAATGATTTGAATTTCAGTGTTAGATCTACTAACCTTATCGCTGATCAATAAAGTTTTTCTTTTGAGTATTTTCATCAATGAATAACAGGAAACACTGAGTAAAACGATATTGATTTTGTAATTGAATCCCACTGTTTATGTGGGTTTTGTTATTTGGAGGGTTTTTATGTAGGTCTATTGAATTTTTCATTTATAGACTTAGTGTTAGCTGACTTCCTTCTTTGTCACTTTCAGTTTGTGTAATTAAGAGTAGAGCTCCTGCAATTTATTATTACATTTTATCTAAGCAATTTAAAGTTCCATGTAAAAGATTCAACAAAACTTGATGCAAACAATTCTGTTATTTTTTATTTTAAATGTCTTGGCCTCCATTTCAGGGAAGTATGAAGTAGTGAATTCAAGATTAAGTGGTCATTCTTTTCCTGATACTATTTGCAGCTTCTGTTCCCTTCACTGGACTGTTAACATGTTAAAGTTCTGAAACGTTTTCATAATTTATAATAGTTTATCTTCTAGATGAGTGTAAATAATGCTATATAATAGAAATATATGGGCATATGATGCTGAGGACTGCAGATGCTATGGAGAACTGAATTAGACTTGTGACAAAATGATTGTGACAAATTGGAAAAATGCATTGAGTTAAACAGGGTGCAGTTAGATGGAGGGTCAGGGAAGCATCTGTTCTTCAGACATCTAAAAGATATTCTTTCATTCTTGTTAACACCAATAAGGTCTTATCAGAAATGTTATTTCTTGAGCATGATGCTTCAAAAATGATGTGCACAAATTGGTTTAGTATTGCTGATCTTGCCTAGGGGGAAAGGGAATGGTTTATGTTTTAATGTATAAAATTGATCTTTAAAAAATTCCAGTTCATGGCATATTAGAAAATCATGTTTGAAAAGACACCATCTCTCTGTCTCTCTGAAAGTATTGAGCTCCTCTTGATTAACTGCTTGTACACGTCTTTACTACACATATACACATTTATACACACACACTGCTAGAAAGCCAGCTCGGATGCACAGTTTCTCCCTTGCTGTTGATGGAATTCCGACCTTTTTATATTTTGTTTTGTCCTCTTTTAGCTATAGTTCTGAACTCAGACTCTAGAGAGCACACACTGTCCTTTGGAGGCTGTTTCTTATTCCTAGTCAATTTCAGATGTGTTTTATGTTACTACATAGAAAGGGTGAAATATTTTAGATTATTTCTATTAGGTTTGTTGGTTTTTTTTTTCCACAAAAAGGCTATGGGAGATGTTCGCTCTTCTCTTAGTGAAAGTACCAAGACAGTGTTTGTAAACATGGAGCAAATCCAGCCATTAAGAACCAACACATTATTTTGTTCACTCAAGTTAGGAATAGTTTGGTGCCCTACATATACTTAACATTCACTCATTTGTTTTGCAGAAGTCACATGGCAGAAATGGCACAGCTCAAGCTATAGTATATGTGCTCCAAGATGAAAGAACTGATACTAGAACCAGATTTAGATACAATAAAATGTATCTGTGGAGGGAGCGGGATCAACCTACTTCACTGTTGGTTTTGTGTTTTGTGGATTTTCCCAGCTCCTTAATAAGCTAGTGACATGAGCTATAATAATTTGAGAAAGTGATTATGTGCAATTATTGGTGTAGTAACTATTTTTTTCTAAGGAATTCTGGCTTTCATCACATTCATCTGAAAGAGATAACACTGTCAATACTCTGCATATTTTAATATGATAAAAACCCACGTTGCATGGACATAAAGCTGTTTACCTGCTGATCTGGCAATATTCAAGAAGTCCGTTTTGTCCAGCAACATCCAGACTTCAGTGAAATAAAAAGTGAACAGAGAATTTTTTTCTTGGTATTTTGTAATTAAGCTCTAGTTTCTTGTTCACAAGTTGGACTGATTTAAACTTTAGACATTATTAATCAGATATAATATTTATAAGCTATAAAAGCATTACTTATCTTGTAGACATGGTGCTTAAGGAATTGGTTCAGTTGTGGACTTGGCAGTTGGACTCAATGATCTTAAGGGTTTTTTCCAACCTGTGTGATTCTACGCTTGTATGAGCACCGTATATGAGTATGATATTCAGTCACCTTAGCCCCTGTGTAATGGATGTTTGGACTGAGGCCCAGATATAGAGCATCACTGAATGACTGAGCATCACTTTCCCATGAAGGATCAGATATTGGCCATATCCGGAAGCCTCAGCTATATTGTGCTTAATTCAGAAGCTTAGATTAGTTAGGCACAATGGCCCACAAACTGTCTTCCTGGAATATTCCCATAGTTGCCACCAACGTAGTATACAATCTCAGCAAAAAATTTTGGTATTTTATATGCTTTTCACTCTTTTTTGGTTCTCCAAAGGTGTCACCATAAAATAACAACAGCTGTTCAACTTTTGTCTTTCCTGTGTTGATTGAGCATTTTATGTGCCCACTTTATAGACAGAAATGCAGCTTAAATTCTTGTTATTCTTGCAGAACTAAAGTTAAGTAGAACAAGCTTGACTATATTCCCTTTTGTGCATCTCCAGCAGCAGTGTTCATTCTGCTCCATTGCAGAGGCATGGTCAGTCCTACACTATGGTGCCAGGTCAGGACTTGAAACCCTGGTATTTCCCACCATGCCATGGAGCAGTAGCAAGTATCTTGGAAGGGGAATCTGTACAAGAGTTGATAATGCCAATGCAAAAAAGATTTCTGCTCAAGTGATGATTAAAACATTTGCTCTCTGGCTGTGAAAAAACAGCAGCAAATAGAACAAAGAACCAAGCTCTTTTTTGATTCGTGGCTTCAAGTTCAGTAAATTGTTTTGCATTTCAAACTGAGTTTTTTTGAGATAGATAGGCAACCCAGTCTATGTTTTTCTTCAGTAAAATTGAGCTTGAATTGGATTCTAAGGAAGTTATTAGTATGAATACTGTTATTTTGTTTTTAATATGATTTTCATAACCAGCCCTAAGAATTGCAGGGGAGGAAGAATTAATTTTGCAGCATGGTTCTAGAGTGTCATTTCTCTGTGTTTCAGTTCAGACCAGAATTTTCGTGTGCATTTTGTCTTTTGGTTGCTGTCTAGAAGAAAGGGCAGCTCAGCCTCTGGTGTTCCAGGTTTAGTGGTAGGGACAGTTACCTCCAATATCCTGTGGAGGAGCTATTTGCTTGTCAGAAAGCCTTAGGGTGCAAAAGTCAAAGTCTGCTTAAGTGGAGCATGAAGCTGTTTCAAAACTTTGTGATGTGATGTCTGATACTCCTTTTTCATGTCAGCATTATTCTCATACAGCTTCGCCAGTTCTCATGCTATAGACTAAGCCTCCAAAGCAATTATAGTAACAAAAAAAATGTACATAAACATCCTTAGAGTATTGTCTTCAGAGAAGTAGTCAGGAGATAATTTACATCATCAGCTCTTACATAACTGTAAACTCAAAAGAGACCACAAACTTCCCAGAAGGTAAAAAGCATTTTTATGCTGTTGTGGTTTTGCTGAACTGAAGAGTGTCTTGTAGAAAGAATTTTCATTGACTCACCAGGAGTCAGAGTATAATCCTTCCAGGTTTTCAAGTGAATTATCTTGTAGTAAATATTGATATAAGCATGGAGTGGTAGCTATGAATGAACTCCAAGCCAAAACTTTGTATCTGAGTTTCTCTGCTGTTTGCATTATGTCCACACAGAATACAGTAATATAGTTAATTCTTCAAGCTACACTATTACAAACCCTGCAAAGCTTTATGTAATATCTTGGCCACTCCAGACAAAATCACACAGTGAATATATGATGGATACTGTTGGATTAGTGTAACAAAAACATTTAGTTTGGGATTTGAACATATCTAAGGTTCTCCCTCTGCCTTTCAAAAAGTTTAAATATACTGTCTGAATCTACATTTTCAACTTCCAGCCTTGCCCTCCATGATCAGCACTGTGTGTTGATTCTTCAGCTTTCCTTTATAAGCACAGGAAGACTTAGAAGTACATTTCCAAAGTTGTGCAGTCAGTGGCAAAAATGGCAAGAATTAACAGCAGTGACTTGATATTCATATTTGGCCAGTACTTAACAGCTCAGTTTTCAGAAGACATGGCCGTCAGCTTTTTGGATCTTTAACTCAGGGCTGACATTTTTTAAATTAAGATTTAAGGAGAAATGCTGGAGCTCTTTGCATGGTGTTCTGTTAATTAGTAACATTATTGTGATTAGCCTGTATGGGCAAACAGCTGCCGGCTGGGTGGCCATAATGCATACACAGCACTTAGGCAGGACTGACAGGCCGAGCCGTGCAGCTGGGAGCAGTATGTGCTGATTCAAGAAAATAAAGGTAATTGTTACTTTTGGAATCCTGCTCTTTTCAGTCCTGTAACCTGGACAACTTAGAGGCAGATTGCTCACCTGCACTCTCTTCATGTCACATGCAGGCAGCACTTGTCTGCTATTAAGAGACAGATTATCACCATTTTCCTCAAAATGAGAGATTTCAAGGTGGTGGTGTTGTCTTTTTTTTCTATCTCCCTTTTCTGAAAGAATTAATGTCTTGCCAAACATATGAAAAAAAGGTTTGCAAATGATCTTCAGATCCCCAAATTTCTTTCTGCATGCCTGTTCATTTTTGTTCCAGTTACATAGTTGAAAATGGAGCATACGGTGAAGCAGAGAAACAGTCATGAATCCAGACCATATAAGGACCTTATCAACTGTTTAAATAACTGGTAGACAGATCAGTGAAACAGATTTTTCAAATGAGTGGTTTCATTATAAAAGAAATGAAACAAGCAAACATCTGCTTTTTTTACAGATCATGTGTAAGTATAAAACATTCAGCATCATTGTTCCCTTCATGCATTACATAGTTACCTGCTTCAAAATGGATAT